ATCAGCAATTTATAAATACATGTAGTTAGATGGCTTGATGGTTATTACTTTGAATTTTTTACTCATGTGTTGCATTTTTGTTGTGTATATAGTGGTTGGTATAAATATTTTTGTTGTTTTCGAATCCCCTTGGGCATGTGTTGCATTTTTGTTGTATATATAGTGGTTAGTATAAATATAAATATTTTTGTTGTGTATATAGTGGTTGGTATAAATATAAATATTTTTGTAAATAATATAAAAGACGTAAAAATTGAAAAATAAAAAAATTAATTTTTTATATAACCGTTAATTTTTGTTGTATATAGTGGTATAATTATTTTTGTAAATAATATGAAAGGTATATAAAAAATAAAAATACAAAGTTTATTCTATTTGAAATCTCCATCTTTCTACTAACAATCTCTTTTACTAAATTTATTATAGAAACCTAAAAAAATAAATTTTTGAAAAATTGAAGTGTTATTTCCAAAATTTGTACGCATTTTATTAATTTTTACATTGATAACCAAAAATTTTATTTTTTTTATGAATTTTTACATTATAAATCATGTAATGTACTATTTTTTTTTACAGTTGTCAATAATACATTTTAGATAATATTATAAAATATTTTAAATTTGTTATTATTTGTTTAATAAAATAATTATGAAATATAAACTAATAATTATATTTTTAATATATAATATTATAATTAGTGAGGTTGTAATAATTTTGGATTATAGTTAGTTAGGCTGTAATAGTTTAGGTTTTTTTAGCGGGTTACGGTTTTTCGCCAAAACAAGATTTTAATGTCCATTCGTTCATTGATTAGTCTACTCTTTATAATAGTCCATATATAATTATATATTTTATCCATGATAATTCTATGATTTTTCTTTTATGTGATGCAAATTTAATAGTTAAAATAAATTTATACAGGGAAAGAACATCTCAATATTCACAAATTGATAAAAAAAATGAAAGTTAATAATGTAGTACCCTCATTTTTTATTGGATTCCTAAAAAACAACATTTATAATGAATTTTAATAATTTTTTCGGATTTTTTTGAAGCTTTAATCCGACCGATTCAGCCGATTCTCGATCCGGATCGTCGATTCACCGATCCAGATCGATTTTTGAGATGCCCGATCCGGGTCACCGATCCGTTTTTTAAACCATTCATTTAAAGTGATCAAACTCGTTAGTCAAAACTTTCACATATTAATTTTGATTAGCTTTTACTAAATCTAATTTTTACTTTAGACACACGGTTGGTGGACTGATGGGATTGGTACTAGCTTTTGTATATTCAACCAAGACCGCTGGGTGCATGCGAGAAGTAACCCCATTCTTCCCCTTTCTATTCAAACTTAATCTTGAGCATAATTTTTGCAAATTCGTGGATGAAAGGGCATGGAATTGAATAACTTTATTCAAACCTCAGACAAAACACCTCTACCCCTAACTGTGGTCTTAGGATATTTTGTAAAGCGACATCCGTAAAAATAAAATTAGGAGATTGAAAACCTTATGATGACCTATAAAGTTGCACCTCAATACATCAATAAAACGTGGCGTTCCTGAGTTCGAAATATTAATGATGACGTAACAATCTATTTTCGGCTTTGATTTCACATGAAATAGAAGCATAAAAATGAGTGCAGATTGTAGCTATGTGAATACTTGAAAACAGATTCCTAACAAAATATTATGAGATACATAAATTTTAAAGTTCAGAATTTTATTCAAATGTATAATTCTCGAAGTCGAAATGATCAAGTTAAGAATTTCACAGCCAAAAATTATTGTTTATCATGATATTTGAAACTTTTTGGAAAGCTAGGGCCCATTAAATACTTCCCAAAGAAAATAAAAATACTGCAAATTTGAAGCCATTAGAATAGGGACTATGTAACCCGCTGCTTTCAACATGTCAATCGGTCACGGTCAAACCTCTTTTATCAATTTTCTCTTTCCTTATGCATGAATCCGGCCCATTAACCCAATCAAACTTCTCTTTTACGTTATGACTTCTAACCGGTAATGGAATAAGCAAAGAAACTTGCTTAAATTGTATATTAACCCAATCAAACTTCTCTTTTACTTTCTGACTTCGAATCGGTAATGGAATAAGCAAAGAAACTTGCTTAAAGTGTATATATTGGATTGTTCACATAAACATATGAGCGTGACGGTCCAGATTGAATTTAGGTCGATCTGATGATCACAGATATCTGGTAGTATTTGAATTTTATTTTATTTTCTACTGATCCAAATTACTTGAAATTTTAAGTGTGCATTCTTTTCATTAAGGAGCACCTAATAAAAATATATTAAAAATTATTTCAGTGAAAAAAAAGATCAAAATACTCCCTGAATATTTTTTAGGGTATTTTGGTCAATTTATTTCATGTAAAATATTTTTTTGATATTTTTTAAAGATTCATCTATTTTTGATAAATACACCCCTAAAATTTAATTGATTTGGATTTGTACATGTGTATATGCTAGGGTGAGCCCACTAGCCCACAGAACAATATAAGTAGAATGACCCAGATTGAATCTAGGCCGATCTGATGGTCGATAGTATTGAATTTTAATATTTTTTTCTACAAATTCAAATCACTTGAAATTTTAAATGAATATTTTTCTCATCAAGCCGCACCTAATAAAAATATAAAAAAATAATCCGTAAATTAAAAATGATCAAAATACCCCCAAAAATTTATGGGGTATTTTGGCCTTTTTGTTTCATGTAAAATATTTTTTTAATATTTATTTATATTTTATCAACACACATCTAAAATTTCAAGTGATTTTGATTTGTAAAAAAAAATTAAAATTCAAACACTATCAGACATTTGTGATAGTTAGATTGATCCAGATTCAATTTGAACTATTGGGCTCTTTTCATTTTAATAGCCCGTTGACTACATAAAAC